TTGAGGAGCAGAAAGAGAATGCCCGACACGGCCGCTGCGATGATCTCACGGTGACGCCACACTGACCCCGGCAGCTCGTCGTCAGGGCTGTCCTCGCTGTCCCCACCACTCCCACTCCCACCCCCGCCCCCGCCCCCAGTCCTCTCGCCATTGCCGCTGGTGCAGGTGGGGCTGTCACCCTCTTCCTCAGCGCCCTCACGATCCGCAGACCCGCCCTCCTGCTCTCCTCTCTCGCGGCCACCTGCAGCAGGGCGGTCGTCGACGCCCGATCGCCTGCCCTCCTCCCTTATGTCCTCCGTGCCGTTCCCGTCTCTCGAGTCCACCATGGCGCCATACGCCTGAGGCGATGGCGAGTCGGAGGGCGTCTCGTCCTCCTCCATGGCGGGGACGAATATCTCTGAGAAGGGCTGGCCGTTGCCGTCCACGCCCCCATCTGCATCGATGTCAGCCTCGTCAGAGGATGAGAAGAGGGTGGGGGTGACGCGATGGGGGTGGGGGCTGGGGGGAGGCTGGCGCCTCGGCTCTGGAGGGCGCTCATCGTCCTCATCGTCCTCCTCGAGTGGGGGGTCCGCCGTCTGATCTTCGTGGAGGTCGCTCTGCTCGAGATCGTCGATCTGCTCGGACGGGGACGACTGCATGGTGGCAGCGGCAGGTTGAGATGAGGAGCGTCCCCCCTTGTCCTCCTGCACCCACTCCCGCCGACAGAAGACGTAATCTGACTCCTCGTCCTGCTCCTGCTCCTGGTCCCTGTCCACCTCCTCGCCGACCCCTCTGCTGGCATGGAAGCGCTCCTGCGCCTCCTGCTGCCCGTCGTCGTCATCGTCGCCCTCCTCCTCCTCATCATCATCGGCCATCATGTCCGCGGGGAGCCGATAAGATATGACGGGTGAGGGAGGGGCCTCAGGGGGAGGCAGCGACTGTTCATGTGCCTCGACGGCCTCGTCGGGGTGGCATGATGACGGCTCCTGCTCGTCGTTCCACACCGCAGTATCGCCTTGCCCATCCAGTGGCTCATCGGAAGGGTTGATGGAAGCGACCTCCCTGGGGGAGGGTGGGGCCTTGCCGCTGCTGCCATGAGGCAGGTCGGTCGTGTCTGCAGCGACCTCCTGCAGTTCCTCATCCCCCTCCTGAGCGGTGGTGTCATCCTCCGTCACCAGCGTGTCAGGTGTCTCCGACGGCTCCTCCGTGGGAATGGCAGCCTCTGCCTGCACCTGGGCCACCGCGTCCACCGAGAGCACCGGGGTGTCCTTGCGCGGCACACGGCGGCCGTTTGGAGATGCATCGACGTCCTGATCCATCTCTGTATCGTCTTGTTGAGCGACGATCCCCTGATCATCCTCCTCCTCATCCTCGTCTTGACCCTCGGACTCAGGTGTGCCCATTGACTCCCTCCGCACCATCGCAGCCACGCCCCGACCATTGGTGGTGCGACCGTCCTCCTCCTGGCTGCCGTGGGGGCCGCGGACAATGACACTGTCCCACTGCGGCTCATCAGCAGGCTGGTCGATCCGCACGAACTCCAGTGTCTGCTCTGCTGCGGACGGGCTGCTGCTGTCGTCAGCCGCACTCCCAAGAGCATCCTGGAGACTCATTCCTCGGTCGAGGGACGCAAAGCTCTGCTGAGTCGGTGCATCGGCGGTGCCGTCGGGCCAGTCCGTGTGCGATCGGTCTTGTCGGTGCTGTTGTGGCTCCTCCTCTTCTCTGTGTAGGCCGTTGGTGGTCTGCTGGGCTGTGCGTGCGAGCCTGGGTGGTGACTCGTCGTATCGGGCGGAGGGGCTGGGTGATAGCTGCCGGTGGTAGGGGGAGTCCTGGTTGCGGCACGCGTCGAGGTCGTGATCCGCATCCAGGATTCCGTCTGCATTCATTAAGATCGAGAGCAAGGAAGGAGATACACAAAGTGACCCATTCGCACACATTACATACATCGAGACATCTATCTATCTATCTGTGTTGTGTTTGCAGGTAGGTACCGACCTGAAGATCTGCTTCGGTGGTTCCTGCAAGTGGTTAGCAGTAGCTTGAGCAGAATGACGATGAAGGAGTTGAGGTGGTCCTGCTGCGGCGAGGCCAGCCACAGCTGCCGATAGAGCCAGCTGAACCCACGACGGTGCGGCACGCGGCCAGGGTCGCCCGTAAACAGAATCGGCGACTCACTCCCAGCCCTGTACACACCCTCATCCACCCCACCAGCTGGCACACCAGGAGCAGCATCAGCAGCAGCGGGTGATGAGTCGGTGGGGATGGACGACGGAGGCGACAGTGACAGAGACGTCCCCCGACCAGTGTGGTGGTCCAGCTGTCCTCTCTCGACCGCACTAATTGGCAACGGTGCGGGAGGGAGGAGCTCGTCAGGTGGCGGCCGCAGCACATGTGCATGCTCCACGTCTGCCACGTCCTGCTCCACCAGCACCTCTGTGGCCGCCTCAGACACCTCCGACGCCGCCATGGACTCGGCCACCGATCCCTCCTCGCTGCTGCTGAACACGCTATCGTCATCCCACGCCTCCAGGCCCGACGCAGGAGCCAATTGAGGCGCCGGACGCGCCGATGAATCGCCCGCCCCAACGCCATTGAGCGCCGACGTGCTCTTCGCTCCCTGCTCCGCCGTCCCGCCCGAGTCGGCCACTGCCGTCCCCTCATGTCCCCTCCGGGATGACACTTCCCTGTCCCAGTGGCCATTGAGCTCGCGAAAGCCCTCCTGTCCGCCGTCATCGGCGGCATGGTGAATGTCGCCACACGGGGAGGAGTCGTCGCTGGGCTGTGCGGGCTCGGAGAAGGTGGGCGAGGAGGCTGAGGGGGGGAGGCGGATGGAGGCCTTGCGGGCGGCCTCTTGGTACTTGGCCAGACGGGCCCGGTGGATGCGATCGCGCTCTATGTGCTGCAGCTCACGCCATGTCTGGACGGACGGCAGAGACAAACAAGACAGACAAGAGGAGAGCATGTGGGTGTCTTCGTGTGTGTGTGTGTGTGTCGCGTACGTCTGCGAGGAAGGGTCTGCTCTTCATGTACTCTACTTCAGCAGGGTGGAACTTGTGTTTTCGGAGAAAATCCATCTGAACCGACACAAACACAAACACACACGCCCACAGCATAGTGGGCCCAGCGTTGCACTCCATTTGACCCACTTACTCCTTCGCCACCTGCCTTGTCCCC